TGCTCAAAATTGTAACATACATCAAAATCGCAATGAAAGAAAAAGTAAATTGAAACCACTACCTTTGCAATTGAACTTATTTCTCTCATTATGAGCTCCGACGTTTTGCCGGCAACGAGCACACATTCGTTTATTAGAACTTTCTTGGCCGTAATCAAAAGAGGTGTGTCGCGACCGCTATTTCCACCTATATCAAGTGGTTTTCTGTTAGTTTTAAAGACTCTCCATGATCCTGCAGCACAAAGAGCATAAATGAATTGACAACGATCTCCTTAGCAACTTCAATCTATTGTTTCTGGTTGATCGTTCTGCAACACAAATTTTATCTAACTGCATAGAGTCACTCAAGTAGTTTATTCAAAATGTCAATTTTTTCTATTATGCAGTGCTGTTGCTTTGGATATGCTCACCGTCTGAATATGCAGAAACACAGCTGAAGTGTACGTGAAATTTCTTAACCCATTGCAGACGGTGGGCATTTCCAGATAGCAGGCGGTTCGGACGGCTACGATGAGAGGCTGGCGACGCGCTTCAGTAAACGGTAGTATTCTGACGACGTTTAGATTTTCATTGCCACTAAAGAGGGTTTAAACGTCAGTTAACGGCAAAATATGATAAAAGAGCCCTCAAGAAAGCTTATGTAGTGGAAGTGACGCCAATGTTCCTCATATAACCCACATTTATGAAAAGGAAAACCAAGTAATCAAATCTTTAACTACATTTTCACATACTTTTATATACCTATATATATTCAAATCTTATATTCTATACCTCTATTGTCAGCAATGGGGGTACCATGGCAGAGTGGATGTGATGATAGTCGCAGTGCACGTAGAGTCGAACCTCACTCGCAACACTTTCCCAAGTCAACAACGAGCACCCTATGGAACGCCACAGCCCGGTTACTCTCGAGATTGCAAGAAAACACGCTCAAACAGTATTTTGCAACGTTCAAGAAGAAGACGAAAAAACGATAGAATGGTAGAAGCACCGGGATTAGCAAAGTGAAAAATATGCCAACAAAAAATCGTTGTATTGACGTAAATAGTCAAATGCTTAATCACATGATCATTTCGTACTTTTAAAATTAAATACTGCACTTTCTTTAGATTTGATATACTTTTAACCTATACAAGACCCAAAAGTCGCCCTAGTGATTAAGGAATGCACGACAATGAGTAGCATGTGAGCAGGGATGCTGCACACTTTTGCGTGTGCTGTCACTTCATCAACAGCTCTCTACAATTTTGGATTATTAGTGAACTTGAAGAGTTGTGCCATTTAATGAATGTAGTAGCCATTGCTCTTTATATATGTTGGCTTTTCTATTCCCACTTGTTCTTTACTGAGAACATTATTTAGCGCTGTCATCTGGCTCTGGACATGAGCACAATTTTCACATGCTTTCGTAGTCTATTTTAGTTAGGTGTCATGATTGTGATTTCCTATACCTCGTCCAATTCCACTTCTCCGATGACTTCAGAGATACCAATTTCTGCCAGCTGCAGCTCTCCACTTTCTTTGACGATCGATGCTAGTATCTAGGCATTATGCTGAATTGACGTCGTGCTGAGTTAACAAAATATGGTGGTTCCACTCAACACAAGATCCTTGAAAATGTGTATCTTAGGAAATACATATTGAATGACGCATTTGTATAATGTACAGGATGTGGAGATTGTGGACCTTCTTGTAATGACATTGGAAGCCTTTTGTAAGTGTACTATGCTTATCACTTTCGGGAAATGTAATAAATTCAACAAGAATTGATTCTTTGCAAATTATTGTGAAGTGCGACCGTAAAATTTGTAAGAGGGGTCTTTCTAATAAAATGCATTTCTCATGAAATGATGTGAAGTGGTCTGTTAGGCGCACATCAGGGTCCATTGCAGCGATTACATTTAAATAAGGTGTATTGAGTAAATACAATTCAATAGCAATGTTAATGCCAGGTTCCTCCAACTTTTGCATGCTGTGAGTACTAATAGTTTAATGTGAAAACTTTCTTAAGGGAAGCGAACGCATCACGAGTACATTTTTGCAGAATACGACAGCATGACAAGGTTTTCCGAAACATGTAGGCTGCTTTGTTATTGAACAAATTTTGTAGAAGGCTTTCCAATGATAATTGATGCCCATCTATCAAGAAGTTTGAAAAGAATCAAATTTAACTGTACAGTATTAAAAAATTCGCTGTCAAGTTGGAACGACGCATAACAGGAGTAAAACGTTTTCTTTTTTTCTTCGTTTAAAACATATCATGCAGATTATCTAAAAAATCAAGCGTAATATCAAAATAAGGTTTTTCATGTTATCGATTGACTTTACGAACGAGAAGAACCTTTAACAACAGCGGTAAGCATGATCCTTATCGCAAGGGTGTGATTTTCTTCTCAAAAATACAGGGATTTAGCAAGCATTGGCAATTAGTAAGGTTTTTTATACAAAAGTCTTCTCAGTGATGTACCACCAACTAATGAGGGCAACGTTTCTGTAAAACCTTAATTGACCGCACTTAATTGGGACGTAAGCCAATCTTCCTAACCGTTCGAGAGGTGCGAACAGTTGAGGGTCGAAAACAATCCTCACCGCCCTCAAAGGAACATAATAAGAGTAAGATTTAGTCTGTGAACTGCTGCACCTTCATGTCTCCCCTGAAACACTGCATCTGGCCGAAAGCTTAGTTCAGAGTGGGTTACTAAAACAACATATCCATGAACGCACTATCTAGCACAATAAGTGCTCGTTTTCCATTCCCTCGTTTGATTTCAAAATTATTCTGATGGAAACTTTTGGAAAATATCGAAAAATGAAAAAGGGCTAGCCGTTGCTCAGTAGGAGCTCAAAAATGTGAACGCCTTTTGTGTTGGTATTTACAGAGGATATGAAACACGTAACAAGAGAACATTATGAAAAAATAACAAACCAATATATCTGTAAACCGGAAGACTGACGTAGTAGTACTGAAGTGCAGACGGTGCAGGTTGAGGCACATAGTGTTTTCGCGTCGGCGTAACATACGATTACTGTGGTAAAGGAGGACTTAGATACGACTCTCAAAAAAAAAGTGTTTCACACGGAAACTTGTGTATCCATACTCTTAGGATTAATATGTTTCTACTGCTTTTTCCAGCAGTGTTATTATGCTTCAAGTGTAGCTATGACAATTGAGTGGTAGGCAAAAATTCTACCTGAGATGGTAGCTAAACCGTGTTTCATTCATACCATGGGCACACGCGACCACTGCATCATCGAGGCCACCGCTTCCCACCACTCATTTTTCAAGATCTTTCTGTCATAGCAAACAGCCACCAACCTTTGAGAGGCTTGGCCTCATAAATAATATAGCACTATGAACCCAGTTGAGCTGACATCTACAGTACTTATAAATTCAGGAATTCTTATATAGATATTGGGCTTTGTAGTATATGGTATCACGCGCCCCTGATATGGGTGAAACGCCGGTTCAACTCCCGTCTGAGGCCGACTTTTAGCTTACCATTAAGTTTTTCTAGGCGAGCTTGTATATTCTTTAAAATGTATATAGGGAGCTCATTGAGCGGAGTTCCTTAGAAATTCCTTGATTCGACCTCTCTTCTGATCAATCATGCCTCTAGCCTGCCCCATCGAGGGAGGGAAAACTATAGCACACTAGCTCTCTCCATCCTTTCACAACCTCACGACTACGTGTAATGATGATGTAGAAACTACCAAGATAGCTACCTTAACATTTGAGAAAAGCGAATATGATCAGTAATTAGCTTTGTTTTGACAGGTGAAAGTCTCCAATCAGCTGCTGAGCCCACGTGCAAACGTTAAATCCAATAAGTGTTGGATGCAACAAAGCGAATATAATGCATGTGCGCTGGTATCAGCACAACATCTAATGGGTATCGTGTGATCCAAGAAAAGGACAAAAAAGACATTTAGAAAGTTATGGACATGTGATTATTTTTTAAATCAATATCTAGTGCCTTTAAAAGAGATTAAGACAGGTACAAGTTGTACGTTTCTTCAAACAAAGCGAAGGAAAAAGATGTTACACGACTGACCCTTAAATGCTAATTATGTGGCGACCAACATAGTAAAAAGTGATAAGTTACTTTACAGCTTTGTCATTAATATAATTTCAAACGCGTTGACTAGATAGCAATTTTTTGTTATCAAAAAGCGAATCACACATATTCTATAATTACTGTCACGTTCGCAATAGCACATAAATTCATAAGCGCTGTGTGGAATGCAGAATAATCATCTTTATGCATTTTTGCATTTTTTTCATACATTTGGTTGGAATATCATCCGCATTGGTACAAAAATATTTCAAAATAAACGCTCCTAAGAGAATTATCAAAAAAAAACCTTCTGTAGCATGTGACATGAAACAATTATCTCTACAAAACAATAATACTGCATTTGCTACAGGTTTTTTTTTCGAATTCGCTTTTTTGGACAACGAAGGGACTGCTCAAGAAAAAAGTATTCGTCTCATTGCATCTATGAATGTGTTAATGCAATACGACTTCAGTTTCTCACTTGACAGATAGGGGGCTTCGTGATAGTTAGGAATATACTGTGGCCAGACTTCTTGATCTCTCAGTATTGGCGATGGTGGTGTAGGAGGTCTGTTAACGACGGTTGTTGAAATCGGAGTTACCTGTGCGAAATTTGTGCTCACTCGATAGTCTCTTATGTTTCTCTGTATAACTACACAACCATTTCTTTGACTATTTTAGTTATATTCTTGTGTACTATCTAGTTCATCTTTTTGTGTAACTTATCACGTCAACTTGCAAGAAGAGTTTTTACTTGCAACATTCATGACTACCAATTACGTCGCTACTCGTATGGGTCAGTAATAAATGGATAAATGCCAATTGTTAATTTTGCAGCGTGAAAGTAACAAGAGGTCGCAATAAACATTACTACAGTTTGAACTATTAACCTCTTTCACCCACCTATTGGAAAGAGGGAAGAACCTGAACGTCATGTACACCCTCCTATAGGAAGCAATCTGCAAAGAAAGGCCTTCTGCGCATTCCATGTCGGGGACTCAAAGGCGAGACTTAAAACAGCCAACGAAAATCAATACAAAAAAGCGAGATGCGCAATAGAAACGAAACCAGAATGGAAACTGTATTGTAGGAAGCCTGTGCGCACTACGCCTCTTCCTTCAAGGTTCGTTTTTTGGCATGAAATAGCATTATCGCTGGATGTGGGAATCTCCCAGCTGCACCACTCATGTAGAGTTTAATCATATTTTTAGAACACAAAAAATAGTGATGCATTTGACACCTCAGCAGTACGTTTACTACTCGCAACCCATAAAATATTTTCATGCAGAAATCCCATGTCAGTGAAGAACAACGCCATCAACCTACCTAAGAAAGGTGAGCGAATAGATCTTCGAAGCTTCCACTTGATTTGAGCAATGGGTCTGCAACTTATTACAAAGAATACTTTTGTGCGCAGCACAGACATTGAATGAAGTACAGCAAACATTGCAAGCACATCACGACAAAATTCCAGTGCAAGGATCACATCCAAACTGTGCGACGAGAAACCGATGTCCACTATGAGTACCAATTGCCATTTTTCTTAAGTTTTATCGACAACGAGAAAGCGTTTCAACAAGGTCGAATGACTGCAATCCTATCAACGCTCATTGACCAAGTGGTGGACCGTCCAACATACAGACATTTGCTAACACGTTCAATGAGTTTTGTAAATCACATGAAGGAAGAACTAGACGGAAGGAAGAAAACAGAGTGGGTCACGATCCGGCTTGTAAGGAGAGGTAACCATCTCTTGACGGATCTGAAACTCCATGTGTCAACCTTTTTGACTCAACGGCGCCTGAACATTGTCCACGGAACTCGTGAGCAATGTCTTATAAAATTCAGCAGACACCAACAGCGTTTCGCTATAATGCGCAGCTCAGATCTTCGGAATTCATCTCGTCCTCGGGATCCGGGAAGCGCAATCCAATAGCAAGGCGCAGAGGAACCATCCACATAATGAGAATAAGAGATGACAAACGAATGAAGGTACGAAAACAACGGTAGAGCGGACTTGAAAACGATGCAAGCGTCTTCTTGGAAGATCACCCAAGCGATGGGTGGACGTGTCTGTGCTTAATGTTAACTATCTGTATTCTCATATATATGCGAGTCCAGGAGTACGGAATTGGCCTCGCGGACGTCACTACGCTTGAGTTCAACCACGACCATGGTCAGCGATTACGATAGAGAGAGACGGATGGAAACTGTGCCGTAACCGCACTATAAGTGAACACGAGTCATTCAAGTCTTCGAGTATTACTGTGGCTTAAAGAAATGAAACAAATTAGGAGGATAGGATATTAGTCTCTACAGAATATTTAAGCCGATACGACAATAATTTTGTGTCAATTTATTTAAAATATCGTTCAAATAAAGCGCTAATATGTTGGGAATGGCTTATTGTAGCAAAACAATTGAAATTTACTAAAGATTTTTAGGCGATCCCATGTACTTAAGACAACGTTGAGCTTATATCTCCTCAACTTCACCTCCAAGGCATAAGAAAATTTTACAGTGTCAATATATCATCTTTATTCTGGAATTGAATAACTAGAAAAGTGTACTAAGAAACCTTCAGACGTGAACCTGCAAGACGAGTGTAATCGTCAATGTTAGTAGAGCTGCCTTCAACCAACATGTTCGGCTTGTCCTACAAATAACGCTCAGCTTTGTGTGCAAAGGAGAAATATCCGTGTGTGTAACACAAAAATTTTTCTCTAGCTACAGCGTTAAACAAAACTCTACCATAAAGCAGCCTCGTCGCACATTAGCCAGAGATTTGAGATTTCGAATGATTATCAAAAGTCCAATGGAAAGTCTTTAGACAGTAGAAGAAGTCGTTTCTTCATTTATTCTTGGATAACGGGAAGAAACCAAAAGTAAAACTGAAGACGGATCATAATAAAGTAAAGTGATACAATGTAGAAAAAAAACACGTTTAAAGCGCCAAATCGACTTATCGTTTCAATTTGCATGATGTTCTCGGATGTTATGGTAGAAATTATTCAACTGAAGCCTTCTCAAATCTCTAAAACCTCTAAATATACATCAATGATAGCTTTGTTTTAGAGTGGGAGAATGTTTGCGAGGATGAATGCGTAGTTATACTCATGCACACTGGATAGAGGCTTCTGGCTTGCCATGTCCTCTTCACAGGTACTCAGTTAAAACGGCACTAATATAAACTTCAGCTGGCATAAGCATGAATTCGGTTCGCAAAGTACGCGGCGAGGAGTACGTTTTGATTAGTTTGATAAGTAGGTTTGATTAGTTTGGTAAGTATACGGTATCAATCGTCAACCTTCGATTGTTAATAACAGGAGGTGGAAGTTTTATAAGAGCAACAATACCGGTAGCAGCTTAAACATTAATGGAAAGTAATAGGACTCTAATTTTCGAGACATTAGAGATAAGACGACTGATATGGCACATTTTGAAGTCGGGAAGTCATTGTGCAGGTCTTATGTGCATTAATTCATATTCGCAACGTTGAACGGAGTACAATGAATTGATACGTAGTAGACGAACTCTTAAGATCTAAACTTCGCTATCCGTTTGGCGAATCGCAAATATAGTGATGGGTTCAATTTGGATGAATGGCGTATAGCCGACAGATAGCACTCGGTTGGATGAAAATAGTCAATTTCGCTGAAGTTGGCATTTATTGTCTAAACTGTCGCAGTTGTGTGTGTGTCTCCCTCAGATCAACAACTGTGCAATTTGACGAGCACTATATGAAAGGGCAAGTTGGTGTACCGATCAGAGCAAACGGAAAGTTCTTTATGATTCTTTATGCTGTGCTTCAAGGCTGAGACGCAGTATAGTGGTTGCCAATTGCTAATGCGGTTCAATTTAAGCACACCAATTTGAGAAGCTTCTTGACACTATCGCTAGAATATCGGATGACTCAGTCATTTTCTGTGTAGGTGCTGCCGATAAGGATTCCTTTTCAAACCGATCCAAGAGATTGTAAAAGCATAATCTATACCATAGTCGTGCGAAAAGAAAGCGGAGTGAAATTTGTTTAAGTGATCGTTGTTATTAATGTCTTATTTACAGCAATACATTATCTTATCAAGATCATAGAAATCTATTGACCATTGCCAAGCTAAACGAAGATCGGTTTCTGAAATTACATCTGCTTTCTGATTTTTCTCATAAACTCTTTTTGGAAATTCCTGAAATATGGCACCTATTCTCGGTTTCATTCTTAAGATAGTGAAAGCTGCGAGAGAAGGCCTGAAAAATGGCAAAGCTCTAAGACCTGATAACATAACTGCCGACTTTATGAGAGCTGGTAGCCATAATCTACATTTACTTCTTGCAGCACATATGACATCCTACCTCCAAAACGAAGAGATCCCAGACCAGTGGAGGACGCCACGCACAGCCATCCTTCACAAAAAGGGTGACCGAAGGGATCTT